AAAAATGTTTAAGTACATTTACAAAAACGAAGGCATTCATTTTGCCGGATAATTCTGGAACGCCCTTAAATTTGATTAATTTCAAAGCAGCATATAATAAGAAGCATTGGAATCCATATTCTCGCCTTAATTTAACCGACCTCGGACAGATGAAATTTATAAAATATTTGACCTAGTTGGGGAGGCCGGAGTGCAATATGCTTTAGCGAGCGACGACAGTATCAGAAAGAAAATATTATTAAATTAATTTTATAATTGTTCCACAGAGCGATAATAAAACTACATTATCGTATCGGATAAAACGAGTATAAGGGCCGATTTCACCAACATTATTATTATGGACCAACAGGAAAATACCTTATCGAAATGCAATTTGACGGAAGCTGTCAAAGGTGTCAGAATATCAGTGATTTCTATTAAAAAGTTGAATAAAATCGTAAAAATTCGACTGTATTATAAACAAGACTACTTTTTGATTGCAACATGATGCTTTTGTACAGAAAAAACAGGACAACTTTCATGTATTTTGATATATGTTATAGGTTTACATTTAACAATCCGTTATGTCCTCAGCGAATGGGAATGGGAGAAATAATAGGGCGATTTTCTAGCTGTTAAATTTGGCAGCAGGTTTGGTCGTTTGTTAATTCATGGCAATCTCGAAATTTGTTAAGTTCAATATACTGTGTGTATATTATGAGATCATTATAGCTACACATACCTGTTGAATTGTGCGGATTTGCAAGAAAATAGAATATAAAATGTATTCCAACCAATTCCTCATCTCTCTACATCATAATAGTAATCATTTGTTATAAATTCATGGGTTAATGAATTTCTTCAAAGCAATCAAAACAGTATGGTCGTCCCCATCCAAAAACACCGATATGTGTAAATGCATGTTAATCCCTACATCTCCGAGGTGCATAGTGCAATTACTGTTGACATAGACCTAAGATTATTAGTAATTACTGAAAAATAATGTCGGGTTCATGCACGACTTAACGTAACCGAATTTAAGGATCAGCTGTTTCTACACCAGTGTCCTCCACATGTTACGGGTGGTTTCGGAACTCGTCTTACCCTTGGATAGCCCTTTCTATACTGTTCTATGCTCGTATTGACGTAATTATAATAATTCTGTGGTGTCTCGTGTTCCACGACGATTTACGGTCAAAGCCAGCCGGTAAATCATCTGTTGTTTTTGTTTGAGTTGTTGACGAATTTGCGGTAGAGATTTGTTTTGGTGTTCTTCGGCTGTCTTTTTCATGTAAGGGTTTGGAAGTGCAAGTTTGCAAATATAGGATAAACTATAAGCACACAGTAGGTGATATAATCACATATGGATTACAAAAGTTGCAGTAAACATGGAAAAACCTTCAGCTAATCTGAAAAAATAGATTTTACTCAGACACCAAGCATTTTTAAAAATTTTGGCTCAGTTTTACATAATTTCATAATATTTAATAAACTGAAAAGATTTCAATGGCAAGCTCGAAGCGCGTTACCGGCACTGCGTCTGTCGCATACTCCCGATCATTCACGGATGCCGATTCCACGATACAAATAAATAGTTTAGTTGTTTTTATTAAAATGTTTATTTCTTTTAAATACACTTTTTCTACATAAACTAAATTACTTAAACAATTTATTATCAAGAGAATTAGTTTATTAGTATGTTGTGTTCAATTGAACTGGTTCTAGAAAATTCAGTTTATATAACTGAATAATTCAGTTACCTAGAATAAAATATTACGGGTAATGATATTTTTCCAGAACAATTGTTTAGTTGATCGCGTTTTCTCAGTGAATTAGGGTAGTGGTAGTTGCTATGGTGCCATCTATGACACAATAATCTTTTCAAATTAATTTTCTAAATATTATGCGTGGTATGCAAGAGAGTATGAGACATCACATAATGAACATAAAACTGTTTATCAAATAATAAATGGAACGGTTATATGAGTACTGCACCCAAAAAAAAATGACTATCTGATAACATACCTTGTAAACATGCCATTGGTTGAAAGCATTTTCTCCAACATTTTCAAAACAGCCCAAGCGGTGCCAATTTTTAATAATGGTGAGAAAGATGAGATAAGCAACTATAAGCCAGTTTCTATTTTGAGTGCAATTTCGAAGATTTTGGAGCGAGCTATTATTTGAAAAGATAATAGCCTACAAACGAATACCCAAACGGCTATATTACAGTTCGTATAGTAAATTGTATGAATGTTTGTATAAGGGGGACAAGTCCATAGGACTGTTCATGGACGTGACAAAGTCCTTTGATATGGTCAGTCATCAAATTCGAAGTTATAGGCTTCATGATTATGGATTACGTGGACTAATACACGATTGGGTCATGTCATATCTTGCTCTTAGGAAGCAGACTGTGGATTTTGATGGATGCTATCCTTCACGGCGTAATGTCGAGTTTTTTGCACCACAAGGGTCGATCCTAGGCTATTTTTCTATTTGTCAACGACTTGTCAGGAGTAGTTAGTATGCTGACGATAACACTTACCTATGTTGTGAAAATAATACAAAGTATTGGATTGATAAACAACAATGCATAACAAATAAATTCATAAGCCAGTTTTCTGGCAAACAACGCAAAAAATACTGTCTTCATAAATTTAACTCCTCGTTCCACCTCAATCAATGAGAGCCAATTAGTCAAGCTCAATGGCAATTCGCTGAATCAAGTAGCAAACACGAAATTTCTAGGAATGCATCTTGATGCAGCTTTTCAGTGGGAGCACCACATAGGTAAACTGTGTGGAAGCTTGTCATCTGTTTGTTCCGCAATCCGGAGGTATGTCCAAACATAGTTATAATATGGCATTATTTTTTTGGGGCGCATCAAGTCATATGCAAAGGGTCCTTATATTGCAGAAACGGACATTGAGAACAATAGCTGGAGTAGTTCCGCGTGCGTCGTTCAAGGAGTATAAGATAATGACAATTCCAAATATACTAAGTGACATATAAATCCGAACACCCAGTTTAAATGGTTTTATTTGAATAAAATTTTGTATAAGTACTTAATGAAGCATAATAAGTAAATGATAAAAATTTCAAAATGATTGCACTGCTTTAAAGCCCTTTGACCTTTAATAATGTGTGGATGCACCCTGATGTGCCGCGCATTCTCCAACGCGCCTAGGCATGCTTCTGATCTCATTCCAGGCAACCACCAACTCCTCTCGAAGTGCTTCTAGAGTCTGAGGAGGACGTTGCAAATTGAGCAATCTCCTACCCATCATATCCCACACGTGCTCAATTGGGGATAAGTCGGGAGATCTTGGTGGCCATGGTAACAATGTGACATCATTATGTTGAAAGAAGTCTATTGTGACTCTTGCAACATGTGGCCGGGCATTATCTTGTTGGAAAGTTGGATCTGCTAGGGTGTCAAGATAGGGTAAAAGATGGGGTTCTAGAACTTCGTGGATATAACGCTGCGCGTTCATGTTACCTCTGATGAAGATTAAAGGTGACCTGGAACCATAAGCTATAGCACCCCAAACCATAACTCCAACAGTGTGATGAACATGTCTTTCAACAAAAAACTGTGGATTCCTCCTTTCACCACGTCGCCTTCTAACCCTGACACGACCATCCTGCATGCCTAAACAAAATCGAGACTCGTCACTAAAGACAATACTTTTCCATTCCTGATCCCAGAGTGACCGTTGTCTGCACCACTCAAGGCGATTACGTCGGTGTTCTCGAGATAAAGGGAGGACCCAGCGTGGCCGGTATGAAAACAAGCCAAAACTTCTCATTCGTCGGTAAACACTTCGCATGCCAATAGGTCTTCCGTGTTCTGCAAACCATTCATTTGCAATGGACCTGGTAGTGGAGAAACGGTCCCTTAAGGCCAATAATCTTAGGCGGCGATCTTCACGGTCTGTTGTTCTACGGCGGCGTCCAGTGCCCCTTGCTCATTTGCTTACGGCCTTCTCGAAGCCATGACTGACAACACCTAACCACAGTGTCTACACTTCTTTGCACTCTAACTGCAATTGCCCGAAAAGAAAGTCCCACTATACGGCCCCTATCAAACTCACTAAGTTGACGAAATCGTACAGGTCTCCGTACTCTAGGCATCGTAACCGATCGTAAAGGATGTCAAGAACCAAAATCCGCCAACGTTGATTCTTTAGTGCGGCTGAAATATTCATTTTTAGAGCGTTAGTGAATTAAAAAAAAGCAGTATAGAAACCGGTATGTCCAACTGATAAGGCTGAAAATTTTTTCACTTGTTATTTACAGTAAGATAAATACATTCACCAACTTTTATTAAAATAAAACCATTTAAACTGGGTGTTCGGATTCATATGTCACTTAGTATACTATGATAGAACTAGTAATGCACGTTAAAACGTTAAATCAAATTTTCCAATCAGTTCTGATTTTCATACCTATAACGCACGTAATCATTCGTCAATTTTGGAAAAATTTAAAACTATCTCGGCTTAAAACTGTTCAATAAACTAGAAAATAATATTAAAGATATTAGTAATTTGGGCGTGTCCAAGAAGATGCTGACTAGCTACTTCCTGACTAAGCCTTTCTACTGTGTGTCGCAATATCTGGAATCGTGAAAGAGAGATGTCAGGCCTCTATTATTATTATTTTTCTGTAAAATTATTTCTATTATTTGAGTATGTATCGATGTTCGCTATGCCATGTATTTGGTCGATTGAAATAAATTTATTACTACTATTATTATTCTTTATTGTTATTGTGGAAAGTAAAAGTATAGCTGACGCGCGAATGTAGTGTATTAGGTTGGTTATCTTCAGGTCGAATACCTTGACCAATGGTGTAACTTTATTGCTTGTAACGCAATTTCTCCGATCCTGTGCCGATACAAACTGTATGTGAATCTCCAAATACAACATAGCGTCGGGCATTTTCTTATATACGTCATTCATTGCTTTTATTTTATAATTTCAGACAGTGGTAATAAAATTGAGCAGAAAACTCACCTGCAGTCCGTCATACGTCCAACTCCCAAACTTCATTTCGCATCTTTGATCGTCAAACGGAAACCAAGTGATGTCGATCTTGCAAGTACTCTTGAAAATCCCTGGTGGTACATAGAGACAGCTGCCATTGTTCCGTACCACCACGTTTGTGGGGTACGTACCATCAAACCCCTCGTCAGCGCTGGAAAAATAGTACCGCACATTACCCAAAGGTGCCAAGTTGTATCCGTTCATACCAAACGAAAATCAAAATGAAAATTTTGTGCTATAATACATGTATTTTGAGGTTTTCTATGAAAACATTTCATAAGCTATAGATCTAGATGAGTATCCGCTTCTTGGGTAAATTGGGTATCTACAATCCAACATCAATTTTTGACAGTTCACGTTTTTACCTCCCCCGCAGGCTTTCGGGGTACTGCATACTCATTAATGAAATCCTACTTATCAAAAATATGAAGATTAATGATACTATGAGTGATGGTAGAGCAGCGAAGCTTGTAGTACCACAACTGCATTGGTACCGATATTATTTAACGTTTACCTCAACGAACTATATTTACTAGAACATCGAGTAAAAAGCATATGTTTTGCTGACGACATGGCCATTATATAGAATTATCAAGCCTGAGAAAACCTAAAAAATTTAATAGAAACAGAATTTTGCAAAAGTATCAATGGTTCAACTCTAGACTTTTAACAGTAAACTACAGCAAAACTTGTTACATCCCATTTTTATCATATGCAAGATTTTTTTCCAAGTATTCAACTTTAGACATAAAGCTGAAAAACAACCAGACTTGACAAATACAAACTTTGTATAAGTACTTAATGAAGCATAATAAGTAAATGATAAAAATTTCAAAATGATTGCACTGCTTTAAAGCCCTTTGACCTTTAATAATGTGTGGATGCACCATGATGTGCTACGCATTCTCCAACGCGCCTAGGCATGCTTCTGATCAGGTGGTCAATGTCCTCCTGTGGTATCTCATTCCAGGCAACCACCAACTCCTCTCGAAGTGCTTCTAGAGTCTGAGGAGGACGTTGCAAATTGAGCAATCTCCTACCCATCATATCCCACACGTGCTCAATTGGGGATAAGTCGGGAGATCTTGGTGGCCATGGTAACAATGTGACATCATTATGTTGAAAGAAGTCTATTGTGACTCTTGCAACATGTGGTCGGGCATTATCTTGTTGGAAAGTTGGATCTGCCAGGGTGTCAAGATAGGGTAAAAGATGGGGTTCTAGAACTTCGTGGATATAACGCTGCGCGTTCATGTTACCTCTGATGAAGAGTAAAAGTGACCTGGAACCATAAGCTATAGCACCCCAAACCATAACTCCAACAGTGTGATGAACATGTCTTTCAACAAAAAACTGTGGATTCCTCCTTTCACCACGTCGCCTTCTAACCCTGGCACGACCATCGTGCATGCCTAAACAAAATCGAGACTCGTCACTAAAGACAATACTGTTCCATTCCTGATCCCAGAGTGACCGTTGTCTGCACCACTCAAGGCGATTACGTCGGTGTTCTCGAGTTAAAGGGAGGACCCAGTGTGGCCGGTATGAAAACAAGCCAAAAGTTCTCATTCGTCGGTAAACACTTCGCATGCCAATAGGTCTTCCGTGTTCTGCAAACCATTCATTTGCAATGGACCTGGTAGTGGAGAAACGGTCCCTTAAGGCCAATAATCTTAGGCGGCGATCTTCACGGTCCGTTGTTCTACGGCGGCGTCCAGTGACCCTTGCTCTTTGCGTACGGCCTTCTCGAAGCCATGCCTGACAACACCTAACCGCAGTGTCTATTTTTAGAGCGTTAGTGAATTAAAAAAAAGCAGTATAAAAACCGGAATGTCCAACTGATAAGGCTGAAAATTTTTTCACTTAGATAAATACATTCACCAACTTTTATTAAAATAAAACGATTTAAAATGGGTGTTCGGATTTATATGTCACTTAGTATATATATTCGTATATAGATTTGGAAGAGTAGGATCTTTAGGTTGACGAATACCTCCCTACATGGCTCCATATAACTCATATCTGCGATGACTGATGCAGCGCCTTTGTAGTGCAAATACTTTAGGCATATGCACAGAGTGACCCCAGTTCATAGGATATTCTTGAGTCGAAGTATCCATAACATGTGGTTAGTAACGTATCACCAGAAACACAGCTTTTCAGATCCCTAATTAAATAAGTGGTCTTGGATAGTTCCCTGAGAATTCTGGTTACATGTTCCTCCCAAGTCATGTGTGTAACATCAATATTGATACCTAAAAATTTTACCCTGTCTATGGTATTGACGTTATGGCGACCCAAACTTATTACCATGGACTGTGTCTTTGAACCATTAATTGTCAGTTTATTTGCTAGAAACTAATTTTCAAAATTTATTATACGAGTATATTCCATGTTCGCACAGTAAAGTAGATCAATCGATTTGCTACTACAGCGCATTTTTATGTCATCGACAAACAGTATAAGGTTGTCAGCAGGACCTGTACAACATTTCTGAAAAGCGATGTATGTGGAAACAAACTTTTGTGCTAGTGAGATAAGGTTTTTACCCTTTTGCGTGGATTTCGTCTCTCAACACTCATTGCTGCTGTGGACAGAAAAAAACGACAAAAAATAATAAATTTCAGGGTAAGCCGCTTGAGTTTTTGTTAGATTAACATGGCGAAATCGAAAGTGTCATAAAAATTCCCCATTCATCTTTGGATAATGCATTTTTTACCGGTTTTTGCCTGGGGGGAAATTTCATGGTAACACGCCTGTCCACCCGATACTGTTTTCACCCCAAAGCAAATATTTCGAATTAATTCAGTTCTCTCTGATGTTTCGGAGGGGCTTTGAAGCTTTTCTCACTTCTCACGCTAAAAGGCGACGAAAGGATTGTAATCGTGAAGTATTTCGCAAGGAGGGGCCTCTTTTGCGGACCTGACTTTGATTCAATTGTGTGTTAAATGGAAGTTTATTATGATTGATATTCCCAAAGTTTTTAACTGAGTTCATATTTTGTTCTTGAGCAATGGTTAATGTAACTTATGAAACTTATCCTATGCTTTTCATGTTCATAGGACTCCACTGTATGGCTAAAAGAAGATTTTTGATTTTGAGGGGTTTAACCAAACGTTTCATACTCCCTAATAGATTCAAGATCCTCGATGGTTCCGATATGGCTGTCTGAAAGTTGTATAAAATGATTAAACAGGGTGTCCGCAAAGTTGGGGTTTTGCTTTACACGACGAGATCTTGAAAACATAAGCAATTTTTCTTAGTACCATATACACCAATGTCTTAAGGGAACCGAGATAAAGGGCTCTGCAACATCAAAAATATCTGAATACCGTCCTGTAGCCGCGACCCGCGACATCCCCGAGTGGTACTAGGACACTAGCTCAACCCGACGACAGAACTGGGTCGGGGTCAGTGTGTCAGGTCTGTATGCAACCTTCAACCGACGGTTACGGTCACGCGTGTAGAGGTAATCGCGTAGACGAGAATCCCTCAACAAGCACTAGATACGTGGCTAGAGAAGTGCAAGTATCAAAAACTAAAGTGTGGCAAACGCTGCGTGAAGAGGGGCTGTATCCGTTTCACGTCCAACGTGTACAAGCCCTCAACCTGACGATTTTCCAGCAAGAGTGCGGTTTTGTGAGTGGTTGTTGCATCAACATGACAATAATCCGGACTTTTTGAAGTGCATATTGGTGACAGACGAATCTACGTTCACGCGTAATGGGGTGAATAACTTTCGCAACACTCATGTTTGGTCAGTAGAAAATCCGCACGCCGTCCGTCGGGCACATTTTCAACAAACATTTTCGGTGAATGTTTGGGCTGGCATGGTGAACGGTATGCTCACTGGACCATTTATTCTCCCAAATCGATTGGACGGGATGCAATACCTAGACTTTTTACGCAACATTTTGCCTTACTTGTTTGCCTGCGTCTGCTCGGTAGCGCATCAGCTGATTTCATTTTCTGTTGGAGCGGTATGATTTCGGGCAGAGACGTACTTAGCCCTTCTCGTCAACTGGAGAGTGAGTACTTTTTCCTTTATTTTTTTTGTACTTGGTCGCCCTCGTTTCACTACACATTACCTTTGTTATTTTAAGGGTAGTTGTTTCTGAAAAGGAAAACCCCAACTTTGCGGACACCCTGTATATTTGAGAATCATCAGGTAAGAACTGAATGTTGCAATGTTGTACAGTGGCTTGTAGATATGAAATATACAAAATGCATAGCAGTTGTCCAAGCTTAGATCCTTGCAGTACTCCAGAGGAAATGAGAGACTGAGAGACAAAACCACATCAATGTTTGCCCTCTTAAATCGATTATATAAAAAGGTCTGTATCATATCGACTGAGGTATCAAAAAATTTGAAAAATTCTCACTTGGCTACCAGAAGACGATCATTTACTATCTTGTACAAGTTTCAACGTGTAAACGTGATATATCGCGAATCTCACATGATACATTTATTTCACTTGTACATGTTACGATGTTGTATCGATTCTAGTTTCAATTGGACAAGAGCCATAATAGTAGAGCTAATAGATGGGAAACTTATCTCAATTTGTAGCTATGAAAATAGACATCTGAGAAAATCAGACATGGACGAAAACCGCTTAGCTGCTTGAATTGCATTTAGTATATGTTTGTTTATTGCAACCTTTAAATTGTCCAGCAAATACCGAAAATTCGCAGCGGGCAAAAACATTTTATTCCATTCCTGATCCTCCTCCCGTTCTAGTTGCTTTAATAATGTTCCCATTATATTGTTATTTTCTCTTTTCTTAATCCAATTTCTCACCCAACATTTCTGAAGCCTTTTGTTTACCGTACGGGACTTAACAGCAGGATAATAATAAGAAGCAGCAGCTTTTCTTCTATGCTTTTTTGTTGGCATCTTCAACCCGCAATTATTTGATAATGATCAATAATTTTATGATGTATTTTCCACTGTTTCTCCACGTTCTCCACGTAGGTACTGTGGAAACAGTTGAGCTCAGAGACACACTATCTCACGTAAGAGCAAAAAGTGCATATAGCATACCTCGAGCGTTTCAGAGATATTATCATGTTCTGTGAAACTACGTACATCCGAGATACATTTCTCATAATTCAAAAATCCTTTGAGATTTTAGTCTCCTTGTGGACAATTGGCAGTTGTAATTTTCAAGATGACATTTTATTAAATGGAATGAGGGGAATATAGATAATTTATTTGCCAGAATATACAGGGTGACTTCGAAGTTGAGTCATTTATTTTAACAGTGAGTAGATCTGATCAAAAGAAATGTTTTTTTCCTTTAACATATTTCTGGTAAAATTAAAGTAACAAAGTTATAGCCCTTTAGAAGTTTAAGTTCCGTCCTGTCTCAATAACAATATTATGTGCTCGTGTTTGGCAACAAGGGATATAATCCGCCTTATCGGTTCATCGCATCGGAAACAAAAAAGCGAAAGAATTTGAATACATATACATGTCAAAAATAACATTTCAAGAAGTTGGAATAAAACATTTTGAAATAAATAAAATAATCACGCGAATAAAACATTCATAATTTGTCGTAACAAGAGCTTAAAATACTGAACATCCACAGTAATTTTAAGAGGAGATACATAAAGTGGCAGGGTGAAGAATCAAATTAAGTAAACATTTTGCTATGAAGCTATATTGGTGTTTTGAAACGTCAATGATTTGTTAAATATCATTTCTTGTACGTTCAAGATCTATATTTTATCTCTGAATATAGTAACAATTATGTAAAGATTTTGGTCTCGAACTTTATTGGTTTTTTCTTGATGTCAATCATTTGTAAAATGTCATGTCTGGATGAGCTTTAGATCCATTGTTTTATTTCTGAATTGAAAAAGCTTTTGGACTATACTTGTTTTATCTGTTGTGGTATAATATTGGAACACCTGGGGCCTAAGAAAATAGATGACCATCGTAGAATATTATTTTCTAGTTGTCTGACAATATTAATGATATGCTGATTTTTATACTGCTACACTATTCTCAGAGTTTTATTTGCAAATTAGGCTATATTACATAAATCTGAGAGAAAGCAATTGTGTGACTCTTTCTTGTTTTCAAAAATATCATATTGCTTACTGGTTTAACATCCCTATATTTAGATATTAGAGCAAGAAATCGTATTTAAAGTATTATGAATACACGTTGCAGACTTGTAAATTATCTCAGAAAATATGATCATATATACTAAGTGACATATAAATCCGAACACCCAGTTTAAATGGTTTTATTTTAATAAAAGTTGGTGAATGTATTTATCTTACTGTAAATAACAAGTGAACAAATTTTCAGCCTTATCAGTTGGACATTCCGGTTTTTATACTGCTTTTTTTTAATTCACTAACGCTCTAAAAATGAATAGTTCAGCCGCAGTAAAGAATCAACGTTGGCGGATTTTGGTTCTTGACATCCTTTACGATCGGTTACGATGCCTAGAGTACGGAGACCTGTACGATTTCGTCAACTTAATGAGTTTGATAGGGGCCGTATAGTGGGACTTCGGGAAGCTGGACTTTCTTTTCGGGCAATTGCAGTTAGAGTGCAAAGAAGTGTAGACACTGTGGTTAAGTGTTGTCAGGCATGGCTTCGAGAAGGCCGTACGCAAAGAGCAAGGGGCACTGGACGCCGCCGTAGAACAACAGACCGTGAAGATCGCCGCCTAAGATTATTGGCCTTAAGGGACCGTTTCTCCACTACCAGGTCCATTGCAAATGAATGGTTTGCAGAACACGAAAGACCTATTGGCATGTGAAGTGTTTACCGACGAATGAGAAGTTTTGGCTTGTTTTCATACCGGTCACACTGGGTCCTCCCTTTAACTCGAGAACACCGACGTAATCGCCTTGAGTGGTGTAGACAACGGTCACTCTGGGATCAGGAATGGAACAGTATTGTCTTTAGTGATGAGTCTCGATTTTGTTTAGGCATGCACGATGGTCGTGCTAGGGTTAGAAGGCGACGTGGTGAAAGGAGGAATCCACAGTTTTTTGTTGAAAGACATGTTCATCACACTGTTGGAGTTATGGTTTGGGGTGCTATAGCTTATGGTTCCAGGTCACCTTTAATCGTCATCAGAGGTAACATGAACGCGCAGCGTTATATCCACGAAGTTCTAGTACCCCATCTTTTACCCTATCTTGACACCCTGGCAGATCCAACTTTCCAACAAGATAATGCCCGACCACATGTTGCAAGAGTCACAATAGACTTCTTTCAACATAATGATGTCACATTGTTGCCACGGCCACCAAGATCTCCCGACTTATCCCCAATTGAGCACGTGTGGGATATGATGGGTAGCAGATTGCTCAATTTGCAACGTCCTTCTCAGACTCTAGAAGCACTTCGAGAGGAGTTAGTGGTTGCCTGGAAAGAGATACCACAGGAGGACATTGACCACCTGATCAGAAGCATGCCTAGGCGCGTTGGAGAATGCGTAGCACATCAGGGTGCATCCACACATTATTAAAGGTCAAAGGGCTTTAAAGCAGTGCAATCATTTTGAAATTTTTATCATTTACTTATTATGCTTCATTAAGTACTTATACAAAATTTTATTAAAATAAAATCATTTAAACTGGGTGTTCGGATTTATATGTCACTTAGTATCAAAGGCCAAATGGATGAAAATTGATAAAATGTATAAATACCAGCTCCTAAGTTTGACTCAAAGAATTTTTTATTCAAAAACACCGTCATATTTAGTAACCAAATTCATACGTAGTAGAAATATGTATTGTATTAATATTAGATATCGACTTTTGCAATTCCACGCCACAGCGCATCTCTATTTCAGAATACATATTTGTATATTTACAATGCTATTAAATTATATAATTCTTTAGATCGCAGTTTAAAATAAACTTGTCATTACCTAAATTCAAGAAAAGAGTGAAAGAAATTATACTTGATCAGCAGCGGAATCTGTTGTAACAGTAACAATAAGTGTTAACTGACCTTATGTTTTCTTTATGCTTTCACATTGATACTTTATTTTGTCGTTATTGTATATACAGGTTATAATTCTCAACAGTTTATATGCATCTTATATTGTTAAGGGAGTTATTTATTATTATTATTATTACTATTATTATTCTAAACATGAACAGATATAGCAGAAATGTTTGAGTCAAATAAACTAATAAAGTCCTATCTTTCTGGACGTGAACAAATCACAAATGTCTCGGGTCAGGAAAGTAATATTTTGAAGGTAGAATGCGGGGTGCCACAAGGTACGGTTCTCTCAACTCTGCTGTTTATAATATACATAAATGATATAACGGAACAATTAAATGATGCAAACATAACTATCTATTGCTTTGCAGATGATACGAGTATTTTAGTAAGTGGTGAAGATTGGGATTCCGTCAAATTAAAAGCTGAAAGAGAAAATTGGCTAGATTTTAGTTTGCTCTCTCTAAATATTGAGAAAACCAATTTTATGACTTTTTCCCATTCCTCGCCTACTTTGCCTAATCTAAACTGCATTAAGATTCATGACTGATATTGTGACTTTGCACCTCAGTGTGCATGTAGCAAATATATAAATAAGAAATCGAGCTTGAAATATCTAGGAATAATTATAGATGAACTTCTTACTTGGAAAGATCATGTTGAGTATGTTACAACAAAGATTAGAAAACTTATTCACAAATTTTATGAATTAAGGGAAATATTAGACTTCAGAACTCTTAAAACAGTTTATTTTGCTTTAACAGAATCTGTAATTAATTATGGTTTCGTAGTTTGGGGAAATACAAGTTTAGCAACGTTATCCAAGTTACAGGTAGCTCAGAAATGGATCATAAAAATTATGCTTTTCAAACAGAAACGATATTCATCTGAACTTGTTTTTAGAGACAGTAAAATACTGAACCTAGAGCAGCTCTATTTAAAATCACTTATAAGATTTATGATGAAATATGATTTCTACAAAGAATACTTACAGCATGGCCAAAATACAAGAAGTGCTGCTCATGCAAAAGTAAAATTGCAAAACCCTAGACACACAGCTTGCCAGAGTCACGTTTACTGTATAGGTCCAAAAGTTTATAATGATGTGCCAAATGGTATTAAGAGATTGAGATATTCTACTGTTAAAAAGGAATTAACAAGATGGATTATTGATAGTCAATACGCCATTAATTATGTAATATAAAAACCTGTAGCATTAAAGGTATTAAGTTCCTAAAATTTAAGATAAAACATAATAGCTTTGAATTTGTTTGATCTATTTTTATATTTCTTTTTCTCTTTGTAAACTAGAATTAAGAACCTCAATGAAAAAGTTACACTTAACAATGTGAATGGGGTGCACACACAGTATTTTGAATACAATTGTGCATCTAAAACTATTAGCAATAGTGGGTAATTTCAAGAATAGATAGCTGGATTTAAATATTATACAATAATTGTAAAGTCTATATATTTAATATGATGTAAAAAACTGTATACATGTTGAATCTGCTGCTAATAAATTTACTTACTCTTTAAAAAAAAAATATATAAAATTGTAATTACAATTGAATACAAAATAAATAAAAAAAATCAGTATCATCACTTTGTTTACAGACCTCATATCGGGCCGTAGAGGACTGACTTTAAATACATTTTTCGAGGGCCCTAATTTTTATCTGTTATCAATTAGGAAATACCATACCTATTATACATGAGGACGTCTGGCTTCCATAGTCTGTGAGGTGGAATTCGCAGATCCTTTACCCCACCGAACTCTGACGAATTCCATCTTAAATTCATGTCGTTCCATTCCTGGAATAAATGAGAAAGCTGGTGAGGCACGCGTCAAGTACGAGTGTTTATTAAAATGCTATCTATATAAGCTCGTTTCCATGAAATTCTTTATTAGGTAAGTTTATACAGAATTTCAGGAAAAAATCGAAAAACAGATTTTCTGCATCGCTAGCTTTTTACTTCCCACGTCTACTGACGGAGAAGTATTTAAATCGCGAAAATATCCGTAAACGCCATGGTTTTTGGATGTTATATCTTATATATATATATATATATATATATATATATATATAACTTGAGACGTGGTCATTGTCGTCTAGACCAATTAGGTGAAAAATTAAAGCTTCCGCCTTTTGTTGGGTACTTCGACAAAATTTAAGCAAATAGGACTCTTTATACTTTTTTAATTCTCTCTAGCTTTCAATGGACTTTGCCATCATCATCAGGAGAGTAGTATGTGAGGATGTTGCTAATTGTTGTTTACGTATAGGATGAGGGAAACGTCCAGTAACATGGTGAGAGCTGGATAGATGGTACAATGGTCAAAATTATATAAAATATGACAAGAACAAGTTAAAAACTGTCCTGCCCTATATCAAGGAACTGACCCCTAAGCTGATCAGATTGTGGAGTCCTTTGAACTTTCGAATTGCTTGCAAATCCGTCCTCACTATAAACTGCATTTTTTCAAAAATGAAAGACAAAGTCCCGCTGCTTGGCTTAACCAACACAATCTACTCCATCAATTGCAACAACTGCAACCAAATATACATAGGTCAAACCTCCAGATCTCTTAAAGGAAGGATTACATCATACAAAAGTGATGCTAGGCTTCGTCCTGAAAGATGCGCTCTAGCATCTCATGTTAACACAACAGGGCATTCTATGAATTACTCAAGTATCAAAGTTCTTGATAAAGAAAAACACCTTTGCAAACGTTTATTCCTGGAAATGTCCCACATTTTCATGAATAACAACTGTATCAACAAAAAGACAGATGTTAAACAACTGAGTGTCATTTACTCATATTTGCTAATCTGCGAAAAATTGGAGAACTTACATATCTCCCCAAATTTCGACTCTTCACAACCATAAATAGAATCTGTGTTTGGCCGATTCCACCAGTAAATTTCATTCCACTCAAAATCTAATAATTCTCTTCTCACGATTTATTAATAATTGTTAATTTAAATTCCCATTAATTAAAATATAGTTTATTCAACTGCCTCTGGTCGGTTTAACAATTTCTTACATAACATTCTGAAAATCACATCATCTGAAGTGATTTGACGACGTTTTGGCACACGCCCACAATTCGTTCCATCTTTCAACACAGACATTGACAACCTTCGGCCTTCTGTCAAAGGTTCATCTCACTCATTATTCCATGACCACCATTTTGTGCAATCATCAAGTGGCTTCACGACGTAATGCTCTAATGTTTTCTAAATAATTTTTAATCTGTCTTTAACTTGTCTTGTCATATTTTATATAATTTTAACCATTGTACCATGCATCCAGCTCTCACCATGTTACTGGACGTTTCCCTCATCCTATACGAAAACAACAATTAGCAACATCCTCACATACTACTGTAAGTTGATTCAATTTAAATTCATTTTACACTTTTGTTGCTACTGTTATCATTGTAATTGCAGCTCCTGATGATGATGGCAAAGTCAATTGAAAGCTAGAGAGAATTAAAAAAAGTATAAAGAGTTCTCTTTGCTTAAATTTTGTCGAAGTACCCAACAAAAGGCGGAAGCTTTAATTTTTCACCTAACTGGTCTAGACGACAATGACCACGTCTCAAGTTATATATATATATATATCTTATAACCGCCTATAACATGAGGAGTACCGCTCGGATGTCGAAGACATTTTTACGCTATGTTACTACTGTGCGAAGGATGCTAACGATTTGTAGGACAAAAATGAAAAACATAAAATCGCTCAAATTTTGTTTTTTTGGCCTTATAGAGTGGCCTGAATATTTTCGGAAAAATCTTTGAAGGGGCGAAATTTGGGGGCTGGGGGATGTAGGAGGTGGGGCGAACAGCATTGCGTAGGAGGTGCAGAGTCAACCCACGCTATTTCTAACATTTAATAACATTTATATGGATAAGGCAAACAATGGATGCTTTACCGAACTTTATTTTTCCATGACAATAGAAAATACAAATTAGCGCCTAGATGAGAGTCATTGCGAAAATGTTTGATGTATGATGCGTCATTCCTAATTGTTCTGTGATGTGGCTTAATTGCACACAACGCGGGCGCGGTGGCGATTGCCTGTAATGCTAATCAAAGTTTTTGAAAACACAAAAAAAAAAACGGGAAAAATCGTAATTTTAACTTTGAATATAACCTGTCTTGAGCGAGGGCAACATTTAAATAACCCATCGGGCACAGCTAATAGATATGCTTCATTGACAGTATATTCAGTAATAATTTAGCAAATATAACTGATTATATACACATGCACACCAATACACATAATCATCCACATGCGATCTTGCTATTCAACCAACTTTCTTTCTTTCACATCTTCTCAGAGATAAACACTAAAGACTACTCGACTTCACAGAATATATACTTGCTCTCTGCAACCAACAATGCGTGTAGTTGAGTCATTCCTCCATAGATGGACGCTCACAGTGATCATAGCGAGCAAACGTGGAATGAACTATTTGCACCCTAAAAACTACCTTGTCTGGAAGACGACATTTCGTTGTTTTTTTGATGTTATATAGGTTATCTGAGGCAGCAAATCTCGCACAGGCCGCAAAATTTGGCATTACGGACATGCCGACTGGGAGGGGCTCAGAGACTTCTTCTCTACCTTTCCTTGGAGAGATGTCTGTTTGTATATACTAAGTGACATATAAATCCGAACACCCAGTTTAAATGGTTTTATTTTAATAAAAGTTGGTGAATGTACTTATCTTACTGTAAATAACAAGTGAAAAAATTTTCAGCCTTATCAGTTGGACATTCCGGTTTTTATACTGCTTTTTTTTAATTCACTAACGCTCTAAAAATGAATATTTCAGCCGCAGTAAAGAATCAACGTTGGCAGATTTTGGTTCTTGACATCCTTTACGATCGGTTACGATGCCTAGAGTACGGAGACCTGTACGATTTCGTCAACTTAGTGAGTTTGATAGGGGCCGTATAGTGGGACTTCGGGAAGCTGGACTTTCTTTTCGGGCAATTGCAGTTAGAGTGCAAAGAAGTGTAGACACTGTGGTTAGGTGCTGTCAGGCATGGCTTCGAGAAGGCCGTACGCAAAGCGCAAGGGGCACTGGACGCCGCCGTAGAACAACAGACCGTGAAGATCGCCGCCTAAGATTATTGGCCTTAAGGGACCGTTTCTCCACTACCAGGTCCATTGCAAATGAATGGTTTGCAGAACACGGAAGACCGATTGGCATGCGAAGTGTTTACCGACGAATGAGAAGTTTTGGCTTGTTTTCATACCGGCCACACTGGGTGCTCCCTTTAACTCGAGAACACCGACGTAATCGCCTTGAGTGGTGCAGACAACGGTCACTCTGGGATCAGGAATGGAACAGTATTGTCTTTAGTAACGAGTCTCGATTTTGTTTAGGCATGCACGATGGTCGTGCCAGGGTTAGAAGGCGACGTGGTGAAAGGAGGAATCCACAGTTTTTTGTTGAAAGGCATATTCATCACACTGTTGGAGTTATGGTTTGGGGTGCTATAGCTTATGGTTCCAGGTCACCTTTAATCTTTATCAGAGGTAACATGAACGCGCAGCGTTATATCCACGAAGTTCTAGAACCCCATCTTTTAACCTATCTTGACACCCTGGTAGATCCAACTTTCCAAAAAGATAATGCCCGACCACATGTTGCAAGAGTCACAATAGACTTCTTTCAACATAATGATGTCACATTGTTACCATGGCCACCAAGATCGCCCGACTTATCTCCAATTGAGCACGTGTGGGATATGATGGGTAGGAGATTGCTCAATTTGCAACGTCCTCCTCAGACTCTAGAAGCACTTCGAGAGGAGTTGGTGGTTGCCTGGAATGAGATACCACAGGAGGACATTGACCACCTGATCAGAAGCATGCCTAGGCGCGTTGGAGAATGCGTAGCACATCATGGTGCATCCACACATTATTAAAGGTCAAAGGGCTTTAAACCAGTGCAATCATTTTGAAATTTTTATCATTTACTTATTATGCTTCGTTAAGTACTTATACAAAATTTTATTAAAATAAAATCATTTAAACTGGGTGTTCGGATTTATATGTCACCTAGTATAGTAGGTGTCAGTTGGTGAGAGAGCAGTTTTGAAAAAATGCGCAGAAGCATGGACAATCGACTGAGGATCTCGTAAGTTATTAATCAAATACGTCATGTTGCTTGGGATGCGCGAAGTTTTATTCTTTTGGTGGACAAATTACCAGAAAGAGACAGGATCGGCTTTCTTCTAGTACTGTGTTGTTTGAACATAATCCTTGTATGTCATTTTGATCTGTGATTTTATTAGCGATGCTGAATTCATCTTTGAAATAATTATTTTTTCACTGCTTTCAGTTACGACAGTTCGTAGCTTTGTCTTTAATGTTTTTGATAATAGTTGCGTTATACAATTTGGCAGATTTTGTTGAAGAAATGTGTCAATTAGGAATGTAGAGCCAACAACACTGGAACCAAATCTGGATACTCTTTAGTCCGACAAAGTCCCATTTCCGAGATATCGGTAATGTTTCTACAGAGTGTCCCGAAAAAAGTGTGCAATATTCTACCAGCGATTTCTAGAGCTTAAAATAGGAAGAAAAGTGTATATAAACATAGGTCGACAAACGTCCCCTAAGGGCGCTACGGTCTTTTAAAGGGGCTCCCCTGGAGATGATTTTTCCTTAATATTTCCGAAACGTGTTGAGATAAAGACATAAAATTTGGTATTCTAGCCTAGTTTTTTATGCTGGATTTAAAAATTGTAACAATTTTAGACAGTTTTGTTTGGAA